GAAGTCGGTGGAAGTGGTGACAGGAATATGACTGATATGATAACGACATTGGATCACACATAACCTGGTTATACAGCATCGCATTATAAATCAAGAGTTATCGAACACTCTATGATCATTGTGGTCTGCAAATACACATCCAAATCAACATATCAGAGCAGGGAGACACGCTTTCTGGGCTTTAGGAATAACAAACCCTGTAATAATGCAAAATGACTCACCAGTGATGGTCACTGCTCGACGCACAACAATCTTTCATCTGGGCAAACTGGTCAAAAACCTCTCTCAAAGTCCACCAATTCATGAATCAACTCAAGTGATAGAATAGCAAGGGCCGGCAAGGAAAGCAGAAGAGTGTTTTTAGCTACACTCACAGTTAGCCATGTTTTTCTCTTGAACCTCTCTGGACTGAAGGAGCAGTTTTTCCCAGCCTTTCCAGACTGAATGATGTTGAAATCCTCTGGCTGGTGTGTCCCAAACGTTTAATCTCTAATTTCTGCTCTAATGGCAGAAATTACTTTTTCGACTCATTATATCACCTTGCTATTATGAGTAGCTACCACAACTGATGAGGAACGGTGGCTAGCTGCGTAGCTACGCCCACACCGTAAACAACGTTTACTAAATGTCTGGATGTATGTAAATGTATTATGTTTATTGCTCTCAGCATGAGGCCAGCGTGATCGGCCCCACAGCTGGTTATTGAAAGCATGTTGAACATGAGCAGAGTGTTTTTAACCGCTCACTTGGTTAGACGAGCGCTGACGGGCCCAAACCAAACCAAGACTGCTGGGAGAAATAGGGAGAATACTGGCCTTTACACAACAGGTACAGGAAGATATCTGGAATGTATCGGACAGCCCGACCACTGTCATATGTAATAAACACACAACAGTGTTAGTTACGAAGAAAAAATATATACGTTAGTTGTTATACTGAATTACGGATCATGTCGTGCACTGCTCCACAGCGACATCTGGTGGGGCCAGGCGCCACTGCACAGACGTACTCCAAAATCTTGTGCCCGGCTGTTACAGCTGAAAAAGGGGGCCCATTGTTTTGGAATGGGAAGTCCAATAAGCTCAGATAGGTGTGATACTCAGGTGTCCACATACTTCTGGCCATATAGTGCATTAATTTTGATGAAAAAGCTGATTTGTGCACCACAATTTCTCATTAGGTTTCTATTGCTGATGATGTGTGAAGCTTGTCTGACCTACAACAGTAGTTGGAAAGGAGCGCGTTTGTGGGCGGAGCACGGCTAGGTCAGCTCAGACGACGCAGAAAAGATAAGAGAATATGAATGAGAGAGAAAAGTGACTAGAGAGAGGGAAGTTAGCGTAATTGATGCGGTCTGGGTTACTGTTTATCGTTTAGACAGAGAGGGATGAGTTTAGTAAATGGCCTCAGCGTGGGCTTTGACCTCAGTCACCCCTGTGCCCCCCAAACACGCATGCGGCATGAGTCTGTGTGAGCGCATATGTTTGAAAAAGAAACACAGACACGATAGACTGAGACAGAAGTGGTGGAAATGGAGCTCTGCTCATTAGAGTAAAAATACAGAGCCGTTTAACTGTGAGCTGAAAGACTGTTAGTTTTGGGTCCCTGAGAGCTGAGAGACCACCGCAGCAACTCTAACTCAAATAAATACAGAGAGAGAGAGAGAGGGAGAGAGGGAGAGAGAGGGAGAGGGAGAGAGAGAGGGAGAGAGAGAGAGAGAGGGAGAGAGAGAGAGAGAGAGGGAGAGAGGGAGAGAGAGGGAGAGGGAGAGAGAGAGGGAGAGAGAGAGAGAGAGAGGGAGGGAGGGAAGAAAGTGAGGGGGAGAGAGAGAGAGGGAAGAGAGTGGGGGGAGAGAGAGAGAGGGAAGAGAGTGGGGGGAGAGAGAGTGAGAGAGAGGGGGGGAGGTAGGAAGGGAAGAGAGTGAGAGAGAGAGGGAGAGAGAATAAGAGAGAGAGAGAGAGAGAGAGAGAGAGAGAGAAAGGGAAGAGAGTGAGGGGGAGAGAGAGAGAGAGAGAGAGAGAGAGAGGGAGGGAGGGGAGAGAAAGAAAGAGAGGGGGGGAGAGGATAGAAAGAAAGGAAAGAGAGAAAGAAGAGGAGGAAGGGAAGAGGGGTACAATAAAAAACAGAAAAGGAGAGAAAGAAAGAAAGAGACAGAAATTGAGAGTCAAGAAATGTGTGTGTGTGTAGAGAAAGACAAAGGGGCACTAGACCATCTCTCTCTCCCTCTCTCTCATTCTGTCTCTCTCTCATTCTCTCTCTCTCTCTCTCTCTCTCCCTCTCTCTCTCTCTCTTTCTCTCTCTCTCTGCTCTCTCTCTATATCCCACTTCACCACATGCTCCTCATTAAGACCACCCTAACCAGCTAACCAGAGACACTCTGAGCCCCTGAGCCACTACACACACACAGAGCCCCCTCCTTTTCTCTTTGAAAGTGAGGGGCTTTATGAGAAGCAGCCCCCCGGTCTGAAGGGAACAGGCGCCACTGACAGCCCCACACTCTGGTATGCACATGTGTGTGCCAGCTTTTCAGCACATTTCACACACACTACAAATGGGTGGGCTTGTTCTAAATTAACGCACCACTCTATGACCACACCATCGGCTGCATCGCTCTGACCAGTCATCTGTGTGTGTACGCTGCACTGAAAGAAGCGATGCATAGGATAAGAATGTGTACATCACGTCCACATGAATAAAGTACATTATTATTTTTATTACTGGTATGAGTGGAGCAGCAGTGTCCACTTACTGTCCACTCTATTAGATGCACCGACCCTGTTGGTCCACCTTGTAGATGTAAAGTCAGAGCTCATCTGCTGCTGCACAGTTTGTGTTGGTCATCCTCTCGTCCTTCATCAGTGGTCACAGGATGGATGTTTTTGGTTCTCAGTCCAGCAGAGACACTGAGGTGTTTAAACACTCCAGCAGCACTGCTGTGTCTGATCCACTCAGACCAGCACAACACACACTAACACACCACCACCACGTCAGTGTTACTGCAGTGCTGAGAATGATCCACCACCCAAATAGTACCGGCTCTGTGAGGGTCCATGGGGGGTCCTGAGCACTGAAGAACAGGGTAAAAGGGGGCTAACAAAGTATCAGAGAAACAGATGGACTACAGTCTGTAACTGTAGAACTACAAAGTGCACCTATACAGTAAGTGGAGCTGATAAAATGGACAATGAGCGTAGAAACGAGGAGGTGGTTTTAATGAAGTGTATATGTGTGAACATAAGAGGTTTTACAACACTGTTGTATAGTATAAGTTGAGGCCGCTCTGTTAGTTACTGCCTCAAATACTCAAATACACACTCAGAACAACAGCTACACAAGCTGTATGATTCCCTTAAGAGCAACAAACTTTAATACGCTGGTTTTGGGTGACAACATCACTGCGGCTCAAGGCTTCCCGCTGCTGCCGAGAGTAACTCCGTCCAGCAAGCTTCATTTACTAGAAAACCTACAATGCTGGAAAGAATTCCACCCGAAAAAAGAGCGAGAGAGGGGAAAATCCAGCAGAGTCAGCAGAAAAAAGCCAAAGTGGAACGACTTAAAAATGTCCAATTGAGATCATTTCTATTTCGGAAAATCAATATCAATGATTCCACATAAAAGGGCTGCCATTAAAACAAAAACGGACTGATGAGTGTGCAATGCTTGCGTTGGCGCCAGAGTGCGAGCGATGCACAGCGGGACATTTGGAGCTGGTTTTCCGCTGTAAATCAATAACATTGATTTGACGCTAAAATAAACCGGCGGTAATGATGCGGTCGCCGGACTGAGGCCTCCATGTGAAAATCCATCAATCATTCAAAGTCCTGACAGGTCAGATCAAGGAAATCGGACAGAATTTGAATGTAGCCATAATATGACTGATCAACTAATATGAGCTGCTGCATGTGGTGCATCAGTCTGTGTCAATGTCTGTGTGTTAGTTCGTTTAGTATGGGGCAAAAGTCAGAGACCACCCTTCATTTGTTTCATTTCCAGTCAAAACAGCCGTTAAGCAGGTTATTCATTTTCAGGAGATATTTCTGAGGAGATTAGATATAAGAATACATAAGGAAGGAGAAAGTCAAAGGAAATTGGAGTTCAAAAAATTATTCAATTATATAGAAAATATAGAAACAATGGGACTCCTAACAATCATCTGCGAGCCCTGGTTGACCACCGAAGCTGTCCCCATCAAATAAAGAGTACTTAAAGCTTTTATCTTTAAGAGATTTCTGTCCATCCAACTCAACCCTGTGGATCTGATGGATGTGTAGCTGTCAAGAAGCTGTAACTAAGACAAAAAACTGTGTATTTGTGTATACATATATATATATATATATATATATATATATACACACACACATATATATATGTTTAGTCACTGTCCAAACAAAACCAAGTCTCTCCAAAATCTCCAAAATAGCAACTTTACAGGAGAAGGCAAAAACACTCTTACCTTTTAATGTAAGTCAATGTAAAGACATTTTATTCCGAGTGATTTTAGAGCATTTCTATTGGTCCATTCATCATGAAATTTTCACACAATGTAAAGGACAGCTGGTGTGGTGAAATGATGTGGAAAAATAAAAATCAACAAAAATAGAGAGACATGGCTTTCTTTGGACAGCGATGATATATATACATACGATGAATGAATAACCACTGAATGAATACCTTAATGGCTATTTTGACTGGAAATATAATATATAATATATATAATGAAACCAATAACCTGTTGTTACAAGTGTTATTGAGTGTGTGCTGTGGAATAACACTGTCGTGAACATCAGGGCTACGACATTTCACTCTGAGTTATCTGTGGAACGTTGCATAGATACTTTATTCCATTCTACAACCTCAGCTAGTAAAACCAATCCAGCCCCAATACAGCTTTACTGAATGACTAATGGCCTGTTTACATAAACGGCTGCTTGGTAGTACTGTAAACCCGTTTAGCATCCCGGCCACTCGGTTCCCTGTTAGACAGTTTAAAAAGCACTCACCTCATCATCTTTGTACCAGGACAGCGATTCGGCCGTCAGCACAAACCAGTACTCCTTAGCTCCTCCCTTCATGATGCCAATGTTGTTGATGGTCAGCCAGCCCTTCCTGATGACCTGAGAAAGGAAACAAAATAAAGAGGAATTATAAAAAGTAACCAAACGGTTTGTTTTCTTGTGCTGTGCGAATTTATGCAAATGCTACATTGCTTTCTTCCTCTTTCAAAGCCAAAGCTCATGTTTAGGCTCTTTTTTCTAATAAAAACATTCTTGAAAGAAGTTTTTTTTGCCTGTGGGAAAAAATCAAATATCCCCACAATGTTAAAATGTTCAAGACTTCATCATCCTGAGGACATTAGATCTACAAAAAAGCATGACACTGTTTCTTTGTTGTTACTGTTATATTGGCTTATGCAATATTGATGTTATAGAAGGCTGCATTATGCAACTAAGCCCTCTAAACAACCACAGTGAGTGCGTTTACATGCACTTAATAATCCAATAACTTTAGAATTTAGAGTTTGTCAGTAATCTGATCAACGCTTTATATACACTTGAGTAATCAGATAACGTGGAAATTCCGGGTCTACATGAGTCAGACAGTGGTCGGATTTCTGCTTTGCAACCAGCCAATAAACTCACAGAAGAAGACAAGACGTAAACATAGTGTAAAGTCAAACTTAATGCCACGGCTTTTTTTAAAAAACAATCCGCGACTTTACCTGAAAAAATGAACCTACATCATCTAGAAGATGAAAAATATTTAAATACTTCATTTCGTTGAGAAAGTAGTTGGTTTCAGAGCCGCTCCAAAAGTGTTTTGCTGCGTCTCGCGGCGATGCCGCTCGCTTATTTCCGGTACAGCGGGAAATCCGAAAGAAATCAGAGTAAGAGTTCACATGCACTGAGAAATCTGATTACTGAGCTTAAATCCAGCCTCTTTATCAGATTTCTTAATCGGATTTCTAAATCGGAGTATTGTGTTTACATGACAGTTTGAATAAACGGATAACTGCAGAAATCCGATTATGATCGGATTATTAAATGCATGTAAACGCGCTCAGTGTTTGTGACACCGTGTGCTTGTGAGCGTCCTGACCATTCACGGTTCCAGACGTGGATCATACATTCATAAATGTAAACTGAAAAATGGCTGCACTCTTCTTCAGTACAGCTTCTCAAACATAAGAAGACGTACTCACCATGATCTCATCCTGCGGCCGAGGAGCCAGAGGGAATAAAAACAAATAAAAAATAAACAGAAAAAAGAAAATAGAAATCATTACTGAAATACTAATGCACAAATAAGACAGACCAACAAACTATTAATTATTATTTACATGTAATGAAGAATATCAGAAGTAGATATTACAAATCAGGGGAGGGCAAAAGGCTAGACTGCCTCGAGGTTTTTCAGCACCAACAATGGGAAAAAGCCTCAAATCCACGTTAAGCAACATGATTATGGCTTGTTGTTAAGGCAAAAACCAGAAAAACTTAATATGGCCTCGCTAAACGTCTACAAAATTGACTTCGCTGCTCTGCCCTCTTGACCACCTGCATGAAAACATGGCCACTGTTAGTCACGCTAGCCTCAGGAATGTTGTCACATCCACTCATCTCACAGAAATAGCTCCACAATTACATAATACGCTACTGGTACGTCTACTCTATTGCACTAGCACTCGCAGCCCATCCTGACATACAACTGAAGACAAACAGGGTAATTATAAGCTTCAGCTACAACGTGTCTGCCCTAAACAAGTGACGACGAATAGCAATGTGAAATGCTAACAGAAAGGCCTCTTTGGTCTTTAATAACTGATCTAGGATCAGTTGTCTCTACAGAGGCCTTCATATCAACTGGTATGAACATGACCACAAACCTGGCCCTGGACCAGTTGATAAGGGCAAGAAGAACCAGCATGGAATGACATACGAATAGAAAGAAGAGAAGACAATATGCAGCAGACGTCCATAATAGAGGGGCAGAAACTCTAGTCTTAACAAAATATTGCAGGCAAGGCAACACATGAGGTCATATTCAGTTACACATGAGAACTTACGCGCATTAATATTCAAGTTTATGTACTATAAAATCAAAAAAACACTGGAAAAATGTATTTATTTGTAATTCTACCCCACTCCCAAAGATGGCGCTGTGATAGGAATGAAAACATTACCTGGTTGCCAGCTGCCTTCTTCTTGTTCATCTGGCTGCTTCTCTGCTGGGCACTGAAGGAAAAGCATATTTGAGCCATTTAAGCACACAATCGTGGTTAAAGCACCCCTTTTCACCTTTGGCTTGTCTGAAGTTTACATAGCTTACATTTGAATTAAACATATCGCTGTTGTCGGAGGAAAACCTCGTATCTCCAAAATGGTAACTTTACAGGAGAAGGAAAAAACATGCTTTATTTTTAATGGAAGTCAATGGAACCAGACTTTTTTCCAAGTCATTTTTGGCCGTTTCTTTTGGTCCATTCATCGTGAAATTTACACACAATGTAAAAGACAACAGGTATTTTCAAATTATGTCAAAAATTGAAAAACGTCAAAAATGGAGATACAAAGTTTTCTTCCAACAGCAGCGATATATATGTGTTTATGATAAGCCTATTCAATATAGCCTTTTGATAATTATGATAATACAGGGAGATTCACTCGAAAGAGGCCCTGAATATTCTGTAATAACTCTCGCTAGGATGGGGCAATCTGAACGAAACAATGTGCAATGTGCCCCTCAGCATATGGAGCTTCGAACAAGCCAGGATGCCCCTGCGTCAGAGCGATGAGGTAGGCGCCGGACAGCCGCCGTGACATTTAACCTCTGTGCATACCCCCGTACCCCTTCATGTGTCTGGCAGAAAACGGAGATCAATTCCAGCATCACGTGTAAGCAATCGATTACACATACGTCAAGGTATGTTGTGTATTTTTTTGGTTCAGATTGCTTCATCCTAACAGGAGTTACAACAGAATATTCGGGGCCTCTTTCGAGTGAATCTCCCTCTACTTTACTTGAACCCTGCTGCATAACACTGACATAACTATGGCAAACCTAATGACTTATACAGTGGCATTATGAAGGCAAAGGTTAAAATGTTAAAGAAGAAAACTTACTTGGCAAATCCAATGAAGTCTTCATGATTGGTGTTCATGTAGGCCAGCTCAATGTCAATAAGCAGCATCACCTTTGGACCACAGAGGATAAAACACTTTAATTTATGTAATTTTCACACTCTTTGATCAAATATTGTTTATTGTTAATAATACATAGTGTAGATGTTGAAGCTATATTGCACATTTGTTCACCTCACCTCATAACTCGTCAGGCAAGACATGTTCGGTGTTTGCTTCTTTAGTTTTGCACTGGAGCTACAAGGCTAATGTAGCTAAGAAGTAATGGAAGCTAATACTGTATATTAGCGCTGGTTGAACTGCATGCCTAGATTATCACACACTTAACCTTAAAACTTAACCTAAAGCCCAGTACACTGTTAAAAATGAGAGGTCAGCTCAACTCAAAATGGTATAGTAACTGATTTCAAGGCTTTTCTTGAGATGACTCAACTTGAGGACACAAGAATTCACACAACTCAAACTTCTTAGTTGAGTGAAAAGTTCTCTTAATTTTTCAGCTCTGCATCTCAGTTTGGTAAATACTTCTTATACTCAACTTCCCCACTAGCCAGGACTCTTTCACACAATCCTGCTAGACATTTTTCCTCTTGGGTTCACACTTATGGATGTCTGTGGCATCACTGGGGCTCAAACTCACAACCTCCTGTTGGGGTGATGACTTAGTCTACTGCACCACTCAGGAACACATGAAGCAGCTCAGATTTTATGTCTTTAAGTGTTTAATACACTTTAGATAGTACTTGTTGTTTTAACTTTAAAGCATGGCGTCGTCTCATGTGGTGCAACTGTCTAATAATTCATCCCAACATCAGGAGGTTGTGAGTTTGAATCCCTGTGGTCCTATAGCTGTCCACATCCGAAAGCCCAAAAGGAAAATATGCCAGATGGTACTGTGTGATAGAAGGAGTGCCGGCTGGAGGGGAAACTGAGCAAATTCAGTTTTGTTTATCTAGCTGAGATGCAGAGCTAAAAACAGCAGCTGGGAGAATTTTTGAGTCAACTCAAAAGTTTGAGTTGTGTGAACTCTGGTGTGCTCAAGTTGAGTCAACTCCAGAAAAGCCATATAATCAGTTACTGTATCACTTTAAGTTGAGCTGACCTCTCATTTTTACAGTGTAAATCAAATGTTATGGTTTCAAAATTTTAAGCATTTTCAAGCACTTTGCTGCTGTTGCTTAAGAACAGCTTTGTCAGTGATTTTTTTTTGGGTTTGAAACAGGAAATGCGTCAGGTTGCAATGATTTCTGGGCAAGTTCTGCTGCTGAAGTCAGCATTTGTGTTTGCTCAAGCTAATAAACTTCACTTGAGCCAATAAAGCCATGTTACGGCCCTTAGAGCAAAAATAACAGCTTCAAAATCATTTTGATGGTACACTGACTTATACTCGCGACAAAGCTGTCACTGGGGCAGGACCCCTCTTGTCACTGGGGTAGTCAGGGAGCATAAACGTACCATAATCCATTGAAATTATATTTTCTAAGTTGTATTGACTCCACACACCCCGTCTCGTCTCCAGGCTTTTTATTTTATTGTTCTATTTTAAAACATTAGGTTTTGTACTTTCAAATACGCCTGGAAAAACTTACTGAAGGTTCACAACTGGACCTTAAAACCACTGTTGTACCTTTGAGGGAACATTTGCACTGTTTGTACTTTGAAGAATGAAAAATGTACCTTTATTTCTAACAGTGTAGGGAGAATGGCATTGCCACTCTGAGCCCGGAATGCTTGCTATAGCACTATGTAACTTTGGAGGAGCGGGCAAGAGAACTCTCATGAAAACTGCGTAACGCTTTACAGCACCACGCCCCACACGAACAGCTCAGCTAGCTATAAGACGTAGCTCTGTATTCACCGTATGAACATCATGGCAGAGGCTGCGAAGAGACCGAAGAAGACATTGTCGGAAGAAGCGAGAAAGAGAGTGAGACCAAGCAAGAGACCGGACAAGAGTAAATCTCAGACTGGCCTTAACTTGTTGGCGAGAGCTAAAGGAGATAAAAGGATGCAAGACTCAAGGCTAATGGGAAGACAAAGAAAATCGGACAGCAGAGTGTGCATCCCTGCCAACGTTATTAATGAAAGACTGTGACGAGGTTGTAACCTTATCTGTGTCATACGTCACATGGAGTTTTACAGTTTTTCCAAAATGCCAAAAGTCATCTAACCTCAGTCCGGTTTCAGGTTAGCATGCAAAGAAATAAATTCGTCTCACCCCACAAAGTTTGGTCAGTTTTTGTCAATCTCATGCCAAATAACCCTAAAGGTTGCAACCTCCTGTAAGAAAATCCTGTAATATCACTCTACCTTGTACATCGACATGGTACCTTCTCTTCTGATGTTCTTTGCAGGTGTTGTGCCAATTTCCGACTTCCCAGCAGAATCCGACTCCCCTTCGCGTGCACGTGTGCCACACAGGCATATGGATGCTACAGATTACACTCGCGTTTTCTGTTGTTTACACTTAGAAACAATCAAAATCACAAGTGTAATCTGTAGCGTCCACATGCCTACGTGATGTGCATGCCTGGAAAGAGGAGTTGGACTCTGTATCCTTCACCTCGTCAACAAATGCATGTGTACAGAAGTCGATGAAGGGGACATAAAGCGCAACTGTGTTTACAACAGTGGTGTAAAAGTGAAATACACTCCAAAACCTCAAGAGAAAAAACAATTCTCACACAGTGCTGCTTTAAGATGGTGCCAGGGATTCCCCTAAGGGGAAATGACGAGGCCAAGTGGGCGACAACATGTAAACAGGAATTAAAATGGGCAGCTAGACTTACGGATGGCTGTGGCATCGCCATTGATTAAACTCGGGGATCAGACTCAGGGATCTGACTTAAGGATCAAATAGTTTTGTTTTTTCTTCTCTATTTCATGTGGAAAGTCAAAGAAACTGTAGGGGGACCCCGAGAGGAAAAACAAGACTCGCACAATGCTACTTTAAGATGGTGCCAGGGATTCTGCCAAAGGGAACTGACGAGGCCAAGTGGACGAGGGCTTGTTAAAATCAGAACTGAAATGGGCAGCTAGACTTATGGATGGCTGTGGTATCGCCAGTGATCAAACTCGGGAATCAGACTCGGGGATCTCACTCGAGCATCGAAATGGTTTTACCTGAGCCTCCTTTATTAAATTTTTCTCTTTTTCATGGACTTAAAACTCCATCCCAGTCCGATTGTCACCATACACGTCTCCTTTGAAAGAGTCTTCCACTCCGTGCCTCACCTGGTCCTTGGTGCGGCTCTCACGGTCGCGGATATGCTGTGTGACGATTCGTTCCATCTCCTCTCGCAGCATGGGGTACTGGGCCAGCTATGGACACGTACAAAATGCAGGACAAATGTATTATACACTGGGCCTAATGTTGTACAGTCTAGTACAGTTTATTATCTCCCTCTCATAGACACAAAATGCTGAGCACTCAGACCGCAAAAGTGTATGTTAGATTTGAACAGTAATACTATAAAAGCATGCAATTAGCATGATGCACAGTTAACAGTAAAGGAGGTTAAACGAGAAATTATTGCTTAACAAAACAAAACTGAAACTATATATATATATATATATTCCCTAAAATTAGACACAATGATCAGAATACATAGTCACGAACAGCACACAGAAGACAGGCATCACATGAAGGAGTACTAGGGGGAGGAACTAAAAGGACAAGTAGCACTGAGTTACAACGCATCATATTCACGAATGTCATTGAATAATGTCAATTAACATGCTGTTGTTTGGTCAGTTACAGAAGGAGATTTTGAAGCTGTTTCATCCTGTGGTAGTTAATCCCAGTCCTGAGACCCCATGAACTGTTTTCTTGCCTTGATTCAGCTCATGAAGGTCTTCTCTAATTAGCTAATGAGTTCAATCAGGTGTGTTGTCGTGGCTCGAAAGCTTTTAATGAACAGGTATCATGAACCGATCCTGTGTGACGTTGTAGATGTTTGAATAAACGATGCATTGTAACCCAAACTTTAACACGTTCAAAACAGCACAAACTCTATTTCAGTCAGGTGCAGGGGTGCAATTAAGGTCATGCCACATGCAAAACTCAAGAGTGTGAGGAGTAAAGGAAGGAAGGAACAGTCTGGATTTGCAGGCTGCAGTCATACCAGGCACATCAACACATGCGCTAAAGCAAAGGTAAAGACATCAGATCAAAAACAGAAAGAGAGGAAGAGAGGGAGGAGAGGATGTCTGAGGACGAGAGGTGATCAAAGTGGCCTCATGTGGATTTTGACTACAGTCACATCCTCTTATGCAGCAAGATATAGATTAAGATTAAGTGACCCTTATTAGTCCCACAACGGGGAAGTTTCACTTCCGCATTTAACCCATCCATGCCGTGAAACACCACATACACACTAGTGAAGACACACACCAGGGGGCAGTGAGCACACTTGCCCAGAGCGGTGGGCAACCCTATCTGCAGTGCCTGGGGAGCAGTTGGGGGTTAGGTGACTTGCTCAAGGGCACTTCAGTCATGTACTCTCGGCTCAGGGAATGCTGTTTTAAGGTCGTACCAGGGATTTGAAATGGGCAGCCAGACTTACGAATGGTTGTGGCATCGCCAGTGATTAAACTCAGGGATCTGACTTAAGGATCAAATATATATATATATATATATATATTCTCTATTTCATGGAGAACCTCAAAGAAATATAAGTGAACAAACAGGAGTTCAAAAATTGTTACAAAATGAAGAAGAAATTGGGATTCCTAGCAACCACCTGCAAGAACAGTAACAGTGAACAGGACTTAAAGCTTTCATCTTTGAGAGATTTCTGTAGATCCATCCATGGTGAGAAGACTCAGTGCTATGCTATCTGAATGGATGTGTAACTACAAGATGTTACTTTATATTAAGTGTCTTTAATAGCTGTGTAGTATAACATATATGAATAACATATGCAACAACACTGTAACTACTGATGATTTAGTCACTGTTACAGATGGATTACAGAAGTACAGCCTATGTAATTACACAAGTGTACCTTCAACACAGGAACTTTCCTGTAGTGCAGTGTTAAAGTAACACTCTAAAATAAGTGATCAGTTCCTGTGTAGTTATTATGTAGGTACTGTGTAATAATGGAGTGGTAATATAGACATTGCTTTGGGTTTAATGCAACACATTTAATTAATGTTATAAGAGTTACATTTTAAGATAAGGGGTTGTCTGCAGTTCTGTTCTTACAGAATGGTTTAAAGCTGAAACTGGTTACAGTGTCGCAGCACTAGCAACATAAATGCTGGCTAAATGTTAGGAAAGCTGGCAGATACAGTGTCAGTACAGACTTCCTTTCACTGCTGGAAAAAACTGCTGTTCCAGTCTGATTACAATTACCCTTGTGTGATTACATGAGAGAGAATACGCTGTTAGATCTACTGAGATACACTTGTGTAATTACATGAGGCAAAACTGAAGTTGATACACATGTGTAATTACATAAGCTGTGTAATTACATAAGCTTCTGTAATCCATCTGTAACAGTGGCTAAATCATTAGTAGTTACATTGTTGTTCATATGTAACTGCACAGTTATTAGAGACACTTAACATAAAGTAAAATTGCAAATCACACAAAGAAGCTGCTGGTGTTCGCAGAACAATAGACTGACCATAACCTAACATCATTCGGTGTGTTTGGGATTACTTGGATTGTGAGAAGCAGAAAGTGCAACCAACTTTTAAAACTGAACTTTGGAAAACTTTAATAATATCCCTGCAGATTTCCTAAAGAAACTGCATCAGGTGTCCTGAAAAATGGAAGCTATAATAAAGGCAAAGGGTGGACACAGTAAATACTAAAATTTGTATATTATATGTAGCTGATATTGTGTGTTAATTTCTGTTAAATATATGTTTTGTGCTTTTTCTGGTGCTGAAAAATGAATAACTCATCCTTCATGTCCATTTTTACTGGAAATAAAGTAGTAGTCACAGTGGTGTACATGCACTGTAATGTAAATATGTTTTGCATTACTCAGCTGTTGCGCTTTTTGTTGCGTCTGCATGAACGGATGTGACACATTTCTGTCAAAATCCACAAGAGGGCAAACTGTTCAAGGTCAAATGTGAAAGGTTTTTACAAATGACAGTGTGCGGAGAGAAGAGGGGTAGAGACAGATGTTCTTTTATGTGTGTTAGCCAGTGGGTGCAACAGGACCTTCTGACCTACAAACGGCAGTTATTGAGAGGAATCCAACAGAAACATAATAGTAAACAGACGTGGGAATAGCACGGAAACTGAAGAAATGGAAAAAATATGAATAAATAAATAAATAAATACATCTCTCAAAGAAAAGAGACAAAGATACAAAAAGAACTGAATTCTCGGAAAAAAAAAACAACGGACTACGCCAATGAGCATGCGTGTTAAAATGGCAAACTGCAACGATTCAGCAGCTGTCACTGTCAATATGGCCATTATTTTGAAAAGAACGAAAACAATGTTTAGTATATTATGACAAATAATACAAATGAAATAAACTGGGATGGAAACACTAATATAAATTGTGTAAGCGGTAAGGATAGACCGATTGTTGCTGGACGAAAGCGTAAGAAGGCCTGCTGAAATCTGGCGTGAAGTCAAGTTATAAGGACTGTAAAAAAATGTATTTAATAATCACTCTACAATGGTGTTTGGAAGCTTCATTCACATATATTTTCTGAACAAAACCCATTTCTTGAGCCACTTTGGTGCTATCGCCCACCTTTAGAGGGCGGCAGTGAGTAATCTTTGCTTCTTTGAGCTTCAGCTGTTTCTCTCTTCACCTGGAAGCTACTACTAATTATCGACAGCTAGGATGTACGATGGTGTATCAGCCAATTTAGTCTTGTATGTTACAAAACGTTCTTTTGCACGCTACATGCAATTCCACAATTCCACCAGAGAGGTCTCCAAATCCCCAATACTTACACAGTGCAGCTTTAAAGGTGCAGTGGGTGAGATTTAATGGCATCTTGTGGTGAGATTGCAGACTGCAACCAACTGAACTGATGAGGATTCACCCTCCTTTGCTTTTTCTTGTGCTAAATAATAACTATGATCCTCTGTTTGTCAAAAGGTTTCAAACTTCTCACAACACGAAATGTTTTAGCCAGCTTTGACAGCAACCACTGATTCTTCTACTTTCTATGCCTTCCAACCGGTGCTACAGCAGCGCCAATTCAAGCTGAGGCTTCAATGTAAAAATGCGAAGGCGCTCTTTAAGGGCCAGTGTTTGGTTTGTCCATTCTGAGCTGCTGTAGAAACATGGTGGCACAACATGACGGCCTCTGCTGGAAGAAAATCCGCTCCCTTTGGAGACATGAAGGACTCATTCTATTCTAACGAACATGCAACGATTTGTAGTTACAGGTGAAAATACATTAATGAAAACATGGTTTTATATACTATATTCCAATTCTAATATCAGAGAACTTGTAGACAGGAGAATTACCACTCTGCAATGTCTTCTGGGTTTCTCAAATTCTAGAGGGCGCTCCCGAGCGAGTCTAAAATGAATGGGTTGATATGGAGCATTTGATCAAAATCATAGTTTATAAATGCTTAAACATTTTTAATGTAAAAGAATACAATCATTTCCTGAACAACATGAAACATTTTAACACCGCTGTTATATTTTTAACTTTTTGTTTTTAGCTGTTTAGCGCCATTCACTCCCATTTATTGAGGACACACTCGTGGGCGCCCTCTGCTGTTTAGCAGTCCTGTTTTTGATATAACGGGGAGAATAGGAAGTGGCCAGGCTCCTCATAAACCGGCTCTGCTAACAGTTCCTTGTAAATCTTACACACCGCACCTTTAAAGCTGCACAATGTATGTTTTGGGGATTTGGAGACCTCTCTGGTGGAAACGTGTAATTGCATGCAACATGGGAAAGAACATTTTGTAGCATGGGTTGCGCTTCGGACCCCTTGTTGAAAGAGCATTCAAAGAGAGCTCAGTCAAAACTTTGTGAAGGATGTGTCTTCTGAGGATGTGGGTGAATTATCTACTATTCATCATATCTCCATCAGTATAATGTTGATTTTGCCTTTGAGAGTTAAACCAGACCTTCTTTTTTGAGCCTGAGCGTGACGTTAATATCTAAAGATGTATGATGTGGTCCAAAAACTCCTGACCCGACGCTTCTGACCTCCCAGCAGTGCACGCAGACCATATTTTAACGTTTTTTTGCTCATGATTAAGTAATGCTGCTTCTGTCAGTGTTAACCAAATGAATCATACATAGTGCAGCTTTAAATTTCATGATCCAAAAAGGTCTAATAACATAAGTATTTTTAAAAAAATGAATTTTGGGCCAAAACGTAACTCATAGTGAAAAACAATGTCTCAAGGGTCAGGCAGTGTATTAGTAACCATTTCGAAAAAGCTTCTGACGTTTGGAACAAATCTGACTCAGTACATTTTTCTACATTGCACCATTTCATATTAAACCACTTTGAACAACTGTGTTCATATGTTTATGATTTAATTATGCAGGGATTTTGAACATTGGTGGACTTCCCTTTTAGCAGTACTAGCAGACAGCACTGCATTTTAAAATTCATGAAGAAAGTACACTAAGCAGATATCTATACAGCTCAAAAAGTACAGACTCAGAAGAGGAATGCATGGGAATGAAAGAACATTGAGCTAAAAGGGCTGGAAAAAGAAAGTTCCACTCTTTCTTCCAAGATGTCCTAGTAATGCATTTTTTCCTATGCTGTCACACTTAAATGTCCACACTAGAGGCTTAAAGTGTGGAAACAGTGAAGCAGTGTTTTTTTGCAAAGCTTCAAATATATATTTACAGTGTGGAAAAAGCACTTTGCTTCCCCCAACCACTGTTACCTATGGTGTTCCACAGGGGTCTGTACTTGGGCCACTTTTATTTAGCATCTATATGCTAATCTGAAAGTTTCCTTGAACTTCACGCGGATAAAACTGAAGTAATTTTGACTGGACTTTCAAAACTCTTCATAACACTTAACTTTTAGGGACTATTGTTGTTGGATAGTTTGATTTCTCTGCATCAGAAGTTGTTTTATCATGGACGTCCACATTGGTCCTTATTTTGTAGGTATTTACAGATGTGTGTAAGGAGATCAGGCCCTTGCAGAAGGTGCTGTATGTAAATAAAATGTAATGTTATCTTATAATTAAGTTAATATGCAATAAAGCATGTTTACTGCTGTCTAGTTAATCCAAAGAATACTTCAATCATCAATACTCTAATCATACTTTAATTAGCTGTTTATTTTTACAAGCAGACAAAGAACTTTGGGTTTTTGTTCTTCCAGTCCAGCCATCGGTCTATCCGTACACCTAACACGGACGCAGACGGACGAGGCTTCGTTCCCGCATTACCTTTTCGCTACACTTTCGTATGGTGGAGGTCAGTTCACTCACTACCATATCTATACACTTCAGCGAGGGAGACTTCAGCTTTTGGATCTGCTTTTTCACTATGGCCTCGAAGGCCAGGTCAGGGGTAAACAGGCCCGTCCTGCAGAGGAAGACGGGGGGGGCACAGGAGAGAGAGAGAGAGAGAGAGAGAGAGAAAGGGAGAGAAAAGAGAGAGAGGCAGAATAAAAAGAGGGAGAGAAAAGAGCGCGAGAGAGAAAAGGAAAGAGAGTAAAAGAAAGAAAGAGAAAGGAGGGAGAGAGTAGTGAGAGAAAATAGGGAGAAAAGAGAGAGAGACAAAAAAAGGAGGAAGAGAAGAGAGAGAGAGAGAGCAAAGAGGAAGAGGGAGAAAAGGAAAGACAGAGAGAGGAAGGGAAAAATAGACAAAGAAAGAGAATGAGAGGGAGGGGGAGAGAGAGAGAGAGGAGGGAGAAAAAAACAGAGAGAGGGAGAAAGGAGAGAGAGAAGAGAGAGAGAAAAGGAAAGACAGAGAGAGACAAAGAAAGAGAAAGGAAAGAGACAGACAAAGGAGGGAGAGAACAGAGAGAGAGAGAGAGAGACAGAGAGAGAGACAGAGAGAGAGAGAGAGAAAGAGACTTACAAGAGATTCACGTGAAAAAGGAACAGAGAACGAACAGAGAAGGAGGAATGAAGAAGAAAGAGAGTAGGTTCAGGAATGGAGGCACAGATAAAGACACAGAGGAAAAGAAAAGGCAAGTCAGAACTTCTAGTTTCTCCTTAAGCCATTCAGCAGAGGCCTGAGATCCCCCCAGAGAGAGAGAGAGAGAGAGAGAGAGAGAGAGAGAGAGATGGGAGGGCGGACCTCAGGCTGCCTGTTCATCGGCCAACAGCTCAAAGCCAGGAGCCCTCAGACTGCAGCTTTACACTCACAGACCAGTCAACAAACTTCACCACATTCCACTCTGTCTGACCCCCACCTTACCGCTGACCACCCCAAACCAAACCCAGGATTTCAGTCCTTTGTTCTTCATTTATATTTGTACTTTTTTTCTGAAAGACTCTAAATGCATAATTCCATTGTCAATAGTCATTCAATAATTTTCACAACAAAAAAGCGAATAATGCATCAAACGTATCTTCTCGTATCTAAATCAGGGGGCGGCAACCCAAATGTTAATAAGAGCCATTCTGTCCTTTCAATAAACATCAAACCACCCTGGCAGCCACAACCTTCATTTTACCGTCTTGGTTGTAAATATGTCTCAGTATGTGCTGATGTACTGGTATAGGCTAAAAATATAACATGAACAAAAACACAGACTCACTTTGCTCTGCTTTAAGCTTTAGCTCAGCTACAGCTGCTTTTCCCACATCTCCGGCAGGAAACTTTTCCTCAAAAGTGGAACAGTTTCTTGTAAAATGTTTCACAATGATCGACTTTTTACGAGGCTGATGTCGCGTCTCGTTCACCAGCTTCTTGTTCAAATTTTCCCGCTCCACCTTAAATGGTGCCTGAGGCGCCAGAATGTAACTGCTGCACCACTTAAGGTGGAAATAGAAAATTTGAACAAGAAGTGATGAACGAGAAGCTGATTTCAGCTTTGCGACTTTTTAGTGTTTGTCAGTTTCTCGTTGCAGATTAAACGTATCAGGAAACCAGCTGGAGTGATTATAAACGCAAAAAACGATTTGTCTCCAAATTATCGATGTTCATCCTAAATCTTGCTCTTTGCCTTTTCGTTAGCTGCTAGCTAGGCGAGACTGTTGTCTGTGTTGCTATGGTGACCAGTAGTCTGCACTGATCTTCAGGGTTAAAGGGTGAATTAGCAGTTCTACATTAACTGCAGCGTTTAAGACCATTTATTGTTAAACTGTGTTGAACGATCAGCAGAGCTTTATTTTACTGTAAAGGAGGATTATTTTATTTTTACCTACAAACCTGATTCTGCTGTGGAGCCACAACAGGGCAGTAAAAGAGTCGCATGGGGCTCCAGAGCCACTTGTAAGTTATTATATTATTATTACCATTCATTTGAGCAGTGATTTCACACTGTAGTAAGAGTAGTAATGTAAACGTATAGCAGGGTGGAGCTTTAGGAATTGGAGCATGTTTCTACTGACTGGCGTAAAAGTGCATCACTGCAGTCCTTCAAGCTGGAGTCTGGACACTGAAGTCTTAATGCTAGGTGTATATCGTGCATTTAAATCCTGAGGCTTAAATGCCATCATACGCCTCTCAAATGAACACGAGTAAACCTACGTAGTAGCTAAACACAAATGCAAAAGCTATGTTAACGTCTCACGTCCACCTAGCAGTGGGACGCCAGCGTCCAGACATTTCTCTTCAGCACAGCAAGCTACTCGTGGCCATGCTGTGGCCATTCTCTCCGGTTTCTTCTCCGTCCGAAGCTGCTAGCATGTACAGAAACCTGTTCACACAGACCACTCGTTCCCACAAGCTCCTGTTAAGTCCAGGGGCTGGTCAAGGGAGGGCAGAGGTGCTTGTGGGTAGTTTTTTGGGGGGGAGGTATCCAAGAAATATCATCACCCTCCACCAGGGGTTTACCTTCTTGGTACACTGCCTAACGGTATTGACTAGCTCAGAAATGACCATGTCCACACATTTCTGGCACGGCTCTTTAATCTTGAAGATCTGCCTTTTCACAATGGTCTCAAAGGCCATGTCCGGCGTGAAGAGCCCAGTTCTGCCCGTCAGGGAAGCGATAGACAGGCCCAAAGGAAAGGACAAAAAAAGGGGGTGGGGATAGAGAAAAATGAGGAAGAAGAGGAGAGGTCGGGCAGAGAGAAGAATGTTAATCGAAAATAACGCTCAACCCACCCACCCAGTTAAATAAACAGGCAAGAAAAAGAAATTATTACTGGTTAAGATAAACATGAATTAAACGTTATAAAAAAAAACACGAGTCATAGAAAACCTTGACAAAACAGCCACCAGAACCATCCCAGAGTCCAGACCTCAACACCACTGAATGCGTTTGGGATTGTCTGGACCATGAGAAGCACAAAGTGCAACCAAGACTGAACTTTGGAGGCATGAAACAAATCCCTGTAGATTTCTTTAAAAAGCTGAAAGCAAGGCTCTGGAAAAGAATGGAAGCTGTACTAAATGTAGAGTGGACACTTTAAATACTGACACGTGTGATGTTTTGGTTGTTGAGGCTTCTGTGTGATTTTCAGTTAAATGTATGTTAAAAATGAATTATTTAATGGCAGTTTTGACTGGAAAAATGAAAGGGTGGCCTCAGATTTTTGCACAGTACTGTGTATCACAAATGGATAAAGTCGTACAATCCAGAAAATGTGGCTCAGCTGCAACCATCTGTTGAATTCTTAGGGCCCAACAGATTTGAAAAAGTTGTAATCGATACTGATTTAAATGAGCAAACAAGCTAAAAAGCCAATAACATTTTGTTTTTTACCATTTAATATGGTTAAAAACGAAACAGACACTATATTAGTTATAAACAGTGTTTATCTGAAACGATGGTTGGTTTCAACTGTGACTTGTCAAATATTGATAACTTCTCAATTATTACCTTTCTTAATGTAGTGGTGGAGGTTTTGTTTCCTCATTCCATCATTCTTGGCCAGACTAGAGTTTTACATTATAATCTTTCCATGTGGGGTTGAAACTATCTGTGTTTAGTTGATGAATTGGTGCTGTTCTGCTTGTATAGACTATAGACTATATAAAGTGCAATTTTTTAATATATTGTATATATTTTGAACTAACCTTAGTCAGGAATGACCACAAAGGGAATGGATAAATAAGGGCAATCAAATTATCGTAATATTCAATAACATCAATGACCGGCTCACAGCTAATAAGACAAATTAGACACTTTAGAGCGTCTAATGACCAAAAAGACAATTAACTTGTAAATCACGGTTATTATGACGTTTCCGGTCTCAAGTAGGTGGATATTAACTAGAACTAAAACCATAGGTTCTTCTGGTTTAGGTTTGGGTCAGTCCTTCTTTTTGAAAGCACAGCGAAAAAACATTCTTCGTCTCCTAAAAGTCTTTCTAAACCACCACTTTTTCAGAAAAATATGAATTAGTGTGTTACAATAGAGAACAAGTCTCTAATTATTGGAAAATCGGCAGTATTTTCTATACCGATAAATTTGTGAGGTGTCAATGTCGACCACTATTACAAGCTAACAGATATATCGGTCAGGCCCTAGTGATTATCGTTAACGGGACCATGTACGAGGAACAACGTACAGCCGGTTACAAAAGACAGGAAGAAACCACACACAGCAGCTCCAGGCTACAGTGAGTCCAGTTACCTAATCAATAACAAAACAAATCTAATCACAAGCTGCTCCACCTGTGTCTCTATTAGTGTAAATCGCCCTTGGGCAGCAGGGAGGCTCAAGGTGCCACTGTGATTAGATGTGCTTTTGTAATTACATTGAGTTTGTATTGGACAGACAGGCGGAACACAGACAGAAACAAAGAGAAGAGGAGACGGAGGACAGACGTGCCTGATGCCGTGAATGTTCTTGATGGCGTAGCTGATCTCCTTGCGTAGCTCCTTCTCGTCAAACTCCATCTACAGAGACACAGAGAGCATAAAGCATGAGTTCCTTCTGATCAGAAAAAGAGTCCAGTCAAAATAGCCATTAAGTACAAATTATTCATTCATTCAAATAAGCAGAAGACATATATTCAAGCCCTTAAAATCCCAGGCTTATTACATGCTAAGGCTTATTATTCTGTAACTACAGGGACTTCACTGCAAACTGGCAGAGCTATTCTTTGGTTCTAGAAGTGCGTAATAAAACTTTGGGCCCACTAGCGAGCCCTGGCCATTTAAGGGGTCAACAGACAACAAGATGACTCAACAAATAAATATAATATCACACATTTCAGTATTTAAGAGTGTCCAGTCTGTACCTTCATTGCGGTTTCTATTCTTTTCAAGAGACTCGCTATCAGTTTCTTAAAGAGATCTGCAGGGATATTTTAATACCTCCAAAGTTCAGTCGTAGAGGTTGGTTGCATTTTCGGCAACTCGCAATCCATTTAATCCACAACACATTTAATGATGTCATTGTCTGTAATCTGGGTTTGCCAGGAAATTGGAAATAGAGTAAACGAAGGGCCGGCCTCTGACCTTCATAACACAGTGTTGTATTTACAGCATTTGGCAGACACTCTTATGCAGAGCGACTTACAATTTGATAATTTTACACAGGTAGGTGAAGGTAGTGTTAGGAGTCTTGCCCAAGGACTCTTATTGGTATAGTGCAGGGTGCTTACCCAGGCGGGGATTGAACCCCAGTGTACAGCGTAGAAGGCAAAGGTGTTGCCCACTACACTACACCACGTATTTGAGAAGTATTTGAATTTCTAAAAGCTGCGCAATGAGACTAAAGAATAAAAATATGAGGACTTCGAGTGGTATGGTTCATGTTGCTTAGAAATCAAACAGCTAGCATGGCTGCAGTGGGAGAAAATGAGGAGCAGCTAACAAAGGAGGCAAAGGTGTCGCCTCACAGCGAGAAGGGCCTGGGTTCGATTCCCCGCCCAGGTAACCAGGGTCCTTTCTGTGTGGAGTTTGCATGTTCACCCCGTGTCTGTGTGGGTTTCTTCTCACAGCCCAAAGACATGCAGTCAGGCCAACTGCCTTGCCCTGTGATAGACCTGTCCAGGGTGTTTCCTGCCTTCCACCCGATGAATGCTTGGATTGGCTCCTGCGACCCAGGAGGATAAGCGGTTTCGATCATGGATGAAAGTTCAAGTTCCCAGTCATATTTAGCCCAGAACTTCTCACGATCCTTTTTTAACACGCCCCTTGCTAATTTCGACTCACCACATCAAAATGCAGTGATAACTTGGGTAAGCTCTGTCGATGTAGTTGAGACTTGAGTTCACTCGATCTCTCACCCCTCCGAAGGTTCACCTAGCACCCTTCCCTTGAGCTATTAAAGTAATGAACTGCTCTTAAGATGGTGCTGGAGATTGTCCCCAGACTTTCTCATAACGAGATCACATCTGGCCCCACTGTACGATAAAGTTCATCCCCTTTAGCGCCTGCGCTGAGGAGCATTTCTGAATTTGTTATGCTTTAGTGCCTTTCCCTCATGATAAGCCCGGGACTACTTGGCTACGACTGAAGGATATTCCCCAGAAGCTGGTTACGCTGCATTTTTGTCACAGAGTGAACACTCATTTCCCCTGTTACAGAAAATATCAGTGACTAAGGGGGGGAGGGCACAACCGCTGTCTTACTACCATTCGTGTCACTTTGATCTCCGAGCACTAAAGGACGTCTGACTCATCTCAGCTACAGCAATTAGCTTCTGAAATATCTGCCTGTTTACATTAGCAAAACACAGTAAAACATACTGATCTACAACATACTGATCTGAACTGATACACGATGCCGTGGATTTCAGTGCTAATAACCGGCTCTGGCTTCGCGATCAGCCAGAATGCAGGAGAGAATGATTCCAAGCAGCTGGCTGCTCCTCACACTCGAGCAGCACTTCCTGTTGAGACGCCCCAGACAGAGTGTTTTATTGTGTATGTGTGTGTGTCTGTAGCTTTTCTTTTCTCAGAAAGCGGGAAGGCGAATGTTTTACTCATAAAGCCTGCAGTCAGGGCCCGAGGGAGGCGCGAGTTTGGGCCGTGACTCATTCTGAAGCTGTTAAGTGATAGCAGAGAGACCCACGACGCTCCTCCACACATACAGACGGAAACAGAGCCTAAGAGTGATGGAATATAGCAAGACTGAGGCCCAGCAGCCCTCAGACAGTTTTGAGATATGTGTGCGGTTTTTGATGTCCAGGCAGATTCAGCGGTTGGGGAAACTGTACTGTTATGACAACAATAACAATAGTTTGGACCGAGGCCTCGTCCACATGCATCCGGATATCTTTGAAAATGCAGTTTTTCTCTGCGTTTTGGCCTCCCGTCCACACGAAAATGGCATTTAACTCGGTTTTCGGCGTTTTCTGCAATTTTGTTGTGCAGAACTAATACAGCTGACGACTGGGTTGTTTCGGTGTGCTCAGCAGTTTTGGTTGTGATGAACATCTTAACATAATTATACACTAAATCTGTCTTTTGCATTAAACCATTGTGTGGAGGCGTGGGAATGTACTGCGCTCTCTTCTTTTAAATGGAATGTCTACTTGGTTGGAATATTAAAATACCTCAGTGTAAAGATATGTAACTTGATATTAACCAAAGTCAGACTTGAAAAAAAACTGAAAACCCCTTAATTCAAATGGAATGAACCACTAAAATCTGCCTGATCAAGACTGTGTGGATGTTTCAGAGACAGTGGCATAGCTACGGCAATGTAAACAACCTCACTTTTATTTTCTGGCAGAAATCGGACACACACTGCAAAACGCTGGTCACTCCAAAGTGAATACGTTTCTAAGACACATGCAGTTAATATAATTAAGCCCTTTCTGAACAACCTTTTATATTAAAAAGCCGAACTATGCTTACGTTTTAGTGACCCCTTTATTTTAAATGCAGGGCATCAAACAAGGGCATACCATGTGATTTTTACAAAAAACGGCACATATCGCTGTTGTCGGAAGAAAACTTCATATCTCCAAAATGGTAACTTTACTTTTAATGTAAGTCAATGGAACCAGACTTTTTTACCAAGTCATTTTGGGTCGTTTCTTTTGGTCCATTCATCATGAAATTTACACACAATGTTAAGGGAAACAGAGATTTGATAAATGAACTGAAAACTGAAAAATGGAGATATGAGGTTTTCTTCCGACAGCAGTTTTTTGTTCTCATTGTATGTCACTGTTTTTATTCTATTGATATATGATGTTTTTACAAAGTCATTTATTACCAAGATAAATGGTTTTAAATAATGTATAAAATGGTTGTAAATCATGTGCACTGCTGTGTCTGATCCACTCGCACCAGCACAACACACACTAACACACCACCACCACGTCAGTGTTACTGCAGTGCTGAGAATGATCCACCACCCAAATAGTACCTGCTCTGTGAGGGTCCATGGGGGTCCGGACCACTGAAGAACAGGGTAAAAGGGGGCTAACAAAGTATGCAGAGAAACAGATGGACTACAGTCTCAACCTTGCAGCTAGTATCACTGCTGTGCTGAGAAGGGAAGGCCATGTGAATAATACGTGGGCAATAGTGGCCCAGAGGTCAGAAACTGAAGTGGGGACAGATAATCCTCTACACGCTTAAAAAAGATGGTTCTCCAAGGGTTCTTTAGTAAAGAAAATGGTTATATAGAGAACCATGAACAATCAAATAAACCTTTGCATGATTAAGGGGCTCTTTGCATCATGAAAGCGTTATTCAGATTGATGGAGAACGTGTTTTATATGGTTCTAACGGCACATTTTGAGGGGTGGTGTCTGACTTTTGTATGATCATGTATCCATACTACAAAGTGCACCTATACAGTAAGTGGAGCTGATAAAGTGGACAATGAGCGTAGAAACAAGGAGGTGGTCATAATGTTATGCCTGATCAGTGTATGTTGGTCAAATATGAATAGCATGTTTGTTTGTGTGTGTGTTCCTTACACACCTTGACCAGTTCGAAAGGGAAGCGCTCGTGGAAGATGCGGTTGATCCTGGCACCCCCTGAGAGCTCATAAGTGTCGATCTGGTCACCGGAGCCCTCAATGCGCTTCTCAAAATCCACAGAGAACTGCTGCACCATCCTGCAGACATGTGCAACACATCAGCGATAAAAACTGAGGCCAGGCATTTGTGTGGATGTGAGTCATTGCTTTGAGGCCGTCTGTTTACAGTGCGTACAACTGAAGCTTGGGTGTGTGCTTTCATGACAGAGGAAAAACAATTAGGGCTGAGAAAAGAACAGATTGCATATCTACTATATACACTTGGGTCATTCTACAGAAACGTCCACTTTTCTATCCATAGGAGTCGCTGTGTTACTGACCGTCATTGGTGTTACACATAAGAAAGGAAACACCAGAGACATTTTTAATGAAAACTGCATCAAACCACATGTTGTCAATCATGGAATATCCACTAAAATATGCAATTTAATCCATTTGTATTCTATTTTTTCACAGTTACCTCAGAATAAAGTCGGTCACACCAGTGACTTCAGCTAAAAGCTTCATATGAAATCATGAGCTAAATGAGAAAATCTCTGATAACTGAAAGACACTCCATGTGCTTTTCTTCATAGATCCTCAGAACACAGGTAAAAGGAAGTCGAGTGATGTCATCAGTGTGACTTTTATTTGAAAATAAGAGATTTTTTGTTATGCAGTAACACCAGTGACACGACTTCTGGGGACCACAACTTTCATTATATACTTTATAATATTTATTTGTTTTTTTATGTCATTTAAATCATATATTCCATAGTCATGTAGAGATTATTGCAGTTAAAATGGCAGAAAAACATGTTTTTTACCACAATATATGGCCTCAGCCTTCACACATGACGGTGAGGACGAGCTCTTCTGTGGTGCTTAGAATTCTATATGATTGATTTATAAACCAATATTGCTGGATTGATAACTCAATAAGGGGTAATTGTTAAAATAACACTGTTTTATTTTTAAATATAAATAAATTGTAACTCTAACATGCTTTTTCAAGTGTAATATATCTGTAAAGGACACAAAAATGGACATTTCTGTAGAATGACTCACTTACAGGCCACTTTATTAGAAACTGTGTTTTACGTGGTGCTAACGGCACATTTTGAGGGGTGGTCTGACTTTTGTATGAGCATGTATCCATGTGCACAGGTGTAGCAGTGTGTTACTGACTGCAGTAGGGCCTTGGTCTTGCGGGACGGGTCGTCTGGGCGGAAGTTCTTGTACTCTTCCACCTCTTTCTCAATGGACAGCAGCTGACTCTGGAGCTTACTGCGCAGCCCTGGCAGCGTGTCACGGATGTGATTGGTGAGTTGCTATGGGAAAGATGTGAGGGCCAGTTACTGACAAAATACTGCATATAATAAATATCTATGATTCTGTATATACACCCTTAAAAAACTGCATTCCACTATAGTCTCTGTGTCCAAGCTGAACAAACTTACCATGAAAGCTAACAACCAAGCAAAAGCTAACCTGCCAAGCATAACTGAGCTATTGAGCTAGTTCATCTGTCTGTCTGTGGTCAGTTCATTTGCTTACCTGGCCGTTCTAATGTTCCCTGCACGTACATCCAGCAACTGGACAAAGTAGAGATAGTCTACAATACAACCTGTATACGTAGAGTCTGTTTCGCACATTTCTGTGTGTCGGACTGAGGGCTGTCAATCATGTGTGCTCATCAGAATATTAGGACTCCACCCACACAGTTTTCAGATAGGTTTGGTATGCAACACTGTGTTTCCTACGACTTTAAACTCTGAGGGCCTTTATAACAGCTTTTGGTGCAAATATGCCACTACAACAGATCATTTATCTTCCCCGTGGACTCGCCTCACCTGGTTGAGCGCTTTCTGCAGGTAAGGAGTTCCCATGCGATCTGCAAGGTGTCTGTAGGCTGGATGGGACAGGAAAAACTTCCTTTCTGCCGCCATCGCAGCGTTAATGTCCTTCTTCCCATCAATGTCTTTCTGACTGCGATTCACCACGCCGATATAGCCTGGTGGAACATTAAACAGAATAACATGAGACACATATTCACTGTAAATGTCGACCCACCGGACACTTTATTAGAAACCACCACGTTGCAGTTCCACTTTGCTGGTGCAAGTTTGAGATAAAGTACAAGGAAGTATTTCTAATAAAGTGGCCAGTGAGTGGAAGTAAGAGATAGGTGTTTCTAATAAAGTGGCCAGAGAGTGGAAGAACAAGGTAGGTGTTTCTAATAAAGTGGCCAGTGAGTGGAAGTACAAGATAGGTGTTTCTAATAAAGTGGCCAGAGAGTGGAAGAACAAGGTAGGTGTTTCTAATAAAATGGCCAGAGTGTGGAAGAACAAAGTATGGTATTTCTAATAAAGTGGCCAGTGAGTGGAAGTACAAGGTAGGTGTTTCTTATAAAGTGGCCAGAGAGTGGAAGTACAAGGCAGGTGTTTCTAATAAAGCGGCCAGTGAGTGGAAGAACAAGGTAGGTGTTTCTAATAAAGTGGCCAATGAGTGGAAGTACAAGGTAGGCGTTTCTAATAAAGTGGCCAGTGAGTGGAAGTACAAGGCAGGTGTTTCTAATAAAGTGGCCAGTGAGTGGAAGTACAAGGTAGGTATTTCTAATAAAGTGGCCAGTGAGTGGAAGTACAAGATAGGTGTTTCTAATAAAGTGGCCAGTGAGTGGAAGTACAAGGTAGGTGTTTCTAATAAAGTGGCCAGTGAGTGGAAGTACAAGGTGGATGTTTCTAATAAAGTGGCCAGTGAGTGGAAGTACAAGGCAGGTGTTTCTAATAAAGTGGCCAGTGAGTGGAAGTACAAGGTAGGTGTTTCTAATAAAGTGGCCACAGAGTGTAAAGTTTGGGAAAATGAAAGCAAGCAAGAAAGAGCAGTAGAATCCACTGCTGGAGGACAAAAACGCACATTTCCTATTCTGGTTAACTTCTCTCCAGCATTTTTGTCTTGCCAACAGCTCCTGAAGCCAGCAGGCTTATAAAATATGCTTGTGGTTTCACATGTTACATGAGTGAGCTACAGACACTGGGATGGTAAAGACAGCGTATGATGGAAAAAGCCTTAGAACAGAGCCCAGCATAGTCGGGACCGAGTGGAAAAATGGAACGTCAGCATAATGCATTCAAGGGTTTCCCATAAATATGTTTTATTGCTGAGCGAAGAAACGAACAGAGTTTTTTCCCAGATGTGTTGTCGAAATCAAGACATTGTTTTTTCTTCTCTCTAACCCCTGGGTGTTCTCTCTATCCCTCTCTCCGCCTCTCAAAATGCAGCACTGGCTGCTGTAGTGTGTCTCATGGCTTTTATACCTTTACACCACTAGAGGGAGCCAATGAGAAAAGCCACTTGCTCACAAGTGAGCATGCAATTTGCAAGGAGGATTCATTTAACTAGATTCTGCATGTGAGCCAGTCATAAATGGCGATTGTAAAGCAGATGTATACGACACATTGAGCAGTTAACAGTTTTCTGATGTGTCTGACGTGATGCACAGGATACACTGGTCTCAGATCAGTATATTTAAATTTTTCTCCCTGACGCGTATAACGTTTATGTGGATTTATGGGCCATAATTGATTTTTGTATGTCATTTTTTCATTTTCTCTTTCAAAGCTGAAAGATGAATCATTTTCATACTGAAATCACATTTTAAAATAGTGCTGGTGGAGTCATTTTTGATGATAGAGCTTTCTGAGTGTCGGCAGAATCTCTGTGAATTTGCAACACATTTTCATTGTACCATGTACTGGATATTATCGGCCACTGTATCCGTGTTATTAGGCTAAATTTCCCACTTAAAACCTACTGAAGCCCTAGTTTTCCATGGGGAGGTGGGTTATGCCCGTTTATCTCAGGACGTCTGTAATATTTATGACCGATTTGCATGGGATAGGAAATCACAGTCTAAATGACAGAGATGGGAGCGGCTACCGCGTTCACTCCAGAAAAGAGTAGAAAACATGTTAAAACATTTCATTTAGCTGTTATTTTGTTTACTCTAACCATTTACTTTGCTGTTTTAAGTAAACACAGAGTGTCATTAGCTTGGAAATTCACAGCAAACAGTCACTTCACTGCATAAAATCAAACTTTTCTCTGCAATTTGCACCTGTTCCCAGTTGTACACGTCAGATAGTACCGTAACGTTACATAGTGGCTTGATTTTAGCCACAGAGAACACAAACAAGCGCTTCTTTGAGTGTCTCCATATTTAAGAAACTCCTTTTCTACAGGATATAATAGCATGTTTGCTAGGGGTGGGGGAAAAAATCGATTCTTAGATGCATTGCAATGCGGACGGTCATTCAACGTCAAAAATCGATTTTCTAAATATTTAATTTATAACGTAGTGTTGACAGAACGCAAAGGGCGGAAGTGCCCGGACAGGCTGTGGGTGCACATAACAAAAACACAGCTGGATGAGTGAGAAATCCGACCGGCTCCCTCTGCATTAAAGCCAGGTTAGGTCAGGAGTCACAACACAAATGATCAGAAGAGCCATTTTGTCCTTTCAACAAAAATCAAACCACCTTGGGAGCCTCAACATTTAATGTCCAGTATGTCTCAGTATGTGATAATGTCCTAGTTTAGGCTAAACAATATAAACAAGAGCGCAGATTTACTTCGCTCTGCTTTAAGCTTTAGCTTTAGCCGCTTTTCCTCCGTCTCCACCAGAAAACTTTTCCTCAGAAGTTGAACAGTTTCTTGTGAAATGTCTCTCAGCTTTCAGCTGTTTTACGAGGCTGAAGTCGGTTCTCACTCGCCAGCTTCTCGCTGAACTTTCCCGTTCCACCTTAAATTCTGACTGAGACGCTGAAGGTAAATGCGGCACCATTTAAGGTGGAACGGGAAAATTAGAAAGAGAAGCGACTTCAGCTTCGCCACTTTTTACTGTTTGACAGTCTCTTGTTGCAGATTTAACGTATCAGGAAACCAACTGCGCTGCTTATACATGCGAATAAGTCCATTCATCTCCAAATGTTCGTCTGTCTTTCGCTTTTCCTTTTTCGTTCGCTACTAGCCAGGCGAAACCTCGTTGCTATGTGACCTGCAGTCTGCACGCCAATTCTCAGTCATTGAGAAACAGGGTTTTCGCGTTATGCTGCACGACCCGTCTCGCAGATATTTTACTGACACAGCGACCCCCCCCCATCCCAATCTCTACCACGAGACCAAAACCGAAGTTATAAAATCACTAAAGAAAAGGGTAGAATAGCTGTAACGCGCTGCGTGGTCATCCATCACCACTGGATCTTATTTCACCGTAACAGCGCATTTTATCGCAGCAGCTTCTCCAAACAAGATCAGTTAATGAGAGCCTTCTATTTCACTTGCCACATCACTTCCATTTGTTTTATTAATAAAAGATATTGGAAGTAAATTCATTATGGATCATTACAAATACTTAGCTTTAAAAATACCAAGGCCTCACACAGTGAGAAAACAGAAATCATGTATAGAAAAAAAAGATGCATCGATAATCGTTTTATAATCGCATCGCAGCCGTTTGCCGACATGTCAATTCGTACGGGATTTAAATAACCCGAGGTTATTTCTACCGCCTGTTTTTTACTTTACTGAATCTTTACTGAAGCTGGAACGAAAACTAAAATCGCTAAGAAATGCCGGTAAAATTACATTACCCCACCTCCCCATGCAAAACTAATCCCATTAGAGGGATTAAGACAATGGAGGCAGGTTAAAAATGACAACTGTCAAGAATCAAAGTGTGACTGTGATATAAAAATGATGAAGAAAGCACTTCCATCAAAATTACGACATATGTGCTGCATTTTGCACAAGCTGTCATTTTAAAGGAAGTATTTCCTGCATTTCCAGCTCCTTTTTCGTTTTGCAGTGCATTGGGTCTTGTCAGTCACCAAACACAGAGCTTGTAAACCATCTGTAGATAAGTTAGACCAATCAGAAGGTACCAAACACCCATGTGCTGCAAACATGACAATACAACCACAACTAACCGCCAAGCTATGTTCAGCATTCAAGCCTCAATCCAGAAGGGAATATATACTGGATTTCATGGCCAAATAAACAGGCCTGGACTTTCATTCATAGAAAATAATCTCAATTTATTTCACAATATTGGTCAGAAAAATCCCAGCTAGATATTGTTCATTTATTCAGCCCTACTTTCTTTATCCTTAGACTTATACAGGCTGTTTAAGACTGACACACACTATATGGACAAAAGTATTGGGACACCTACACATTATACCTACAGGAGCTTTTATGAATCCCATTCTAAATCCATAGGCATTAATATGGAGTTGGTCCCCCTTTGCAGCTCTAACAGCTTCCACTCTTCTGGGAAGCTTCTACAAGATGTTGGAGAGAGTCTCAGGGAATGTTTGTCCATTCATCCAGAAGAGCATTTGTGAGGTCAGACACTGATGTTGGACGAGAGGGTCTGGCTCACAATCTCTGTTCTAGTTCAGTGAGGGGCGCTAAACGTTTGCAGGCTGAATAGGAGGACATATGCAAATGTGTTGCGTTTTGTGACATCATAAAAACAATGAATTCAAAACAGGCTGTTTTTGCAGTTTAGTTTCATAAGGACTGTACGGACTACATACTACGTCAAACTCAGTAAAATGATGGTTATACAGGCCCTTTAAAACACCGCGGTTAGCTCCTCTCACCTCTGCGCAGCGGCAGCAGCTTGTTCTCCAGAATATCACGAGCGTCTGTCCCTTCGTCCATCAGATCCAGCTTGGTAATCACACCGATGGTGCGCAGGCCTGTTCAAAAAATATAGTTCAGTTTACAAAATTTAACAAACCTTTGCATTTTTAGGCACTTAGCAGACTCTCTACAGCAGCTTATGCTGGCTTTACACCGCAAAACGTCCATGCTACTAGTTGCATGCTGTGAGTTGCCTGCAGCATCATTTCTGTGCAACTTGACAGCTACACAAAGAAATTCAAAATAAAGTCGCATTCAGGTACTCCACTACTTAGCAGCTAGCCAAGTTAGCAGCTCACTGTTTTTTATACACTGTATCATTCTCGCTATAGCCGTAAACAGCTGTTAGCATTAGCTGGCTAGTTAACGAAGCTGTTACAGAAACGTTAACATCATGAATCTCACATTTGTTATCATTGTTCTAGAAATGGGCAAAATGAAAAGCTACCAACCTTGAGCCAGTCGAGGTGGGGTTCTCGTCTTCAACTACCCAAATCTTCTATTTTATTTTATTATTCTGATCCAGTGAACTTCTTGTTTTAATGTACGCAATTTAACGTGATCACATGATGCATTATTGCAATTTTGACTGGCTGTTTCATGAAATTGTTTTATGAAGTTGAGGCACTTGCAACGGTTGCAGCTGAGTTTTAAAGAAGTGCAGTATGCTGCATATTACGCAACTCAGTTGCAATTTAGTTTGATTTAGGTTTCAAAAATTAAAGTTTCAGTGTGTAAAGCCACTCTTACAGCAGCAGGTGCATGCAGCATTTAGTGACTCACCTGAAGACTGTTGTGCTGCTGCCTGGATGAGGATTAAATTATCATTTTACAGCCTTGTGCAGGAGGAATAAAGGATGGCGCAGCGGCTAACACATTCACCCTGCATACTGACTGATTTATCAGTCTACTCAGGCTTTAGCAGAGTTTAGTAGCACTGAGATTAATAACTGATCATCACATTGATTTATCAGTCTACTCAGGCTTTAGCAGAGCTCATAACACCGAGATTAATAACTGATCATCACATTGATTTTTCAGTCTACTCAGGCTTAAGTAGGAACTTCAGTGTTAGTAAAAAAGCTGTCCTCTTCAAAGTTCATCTAAGGTGCATGTTTGCTACATGCAATGTACTGATTTTAAAACAGTTGCTAAACTCCATTGATGGTGTTTCTTTTGAAGACTTATTTTTATTTAGTGGGTAGGTATTTTAAAAGAATTTTCCTAAAATTATTAAGGTAATTATATTCTGAATACTGTCTTTACAAATGTAACTTGGGCTGGATACAGACACTTCTGAACATATATTCCCAGAACTTGCTTTTGCTTACATCCCAACCCTGTCTATGATACTATACTAGCACAATAACACAATATACCATACAAGTACAATAAACAAATAATTAATGATCACAATAAAACATAAAAGACGTTTTTCACACCAAATGGTTGGTACATAGTTTGGGCTTTGACAAAATCCTCAACACGTCTTTAGAAAAGTACGGCACTCACCTTGCGGGTCGACTTCTTTGGCAACCTTTAGAGCGTCGGAGTTAGCGAGATCAGAGTTGGCAGGAGACACAGCCAGCAGCAGGCAGTTCTCCTTAGTGACAAACTGCATGAGCATGTCCTTGATTTGGTGCTCAATGTCCGCCGGTTGGTCACCCACCGGCACTTTGGTCATCCCCGGCAGGTCCACCAGAGTCAGGTTCAGTACTGATTGGGAAATAAAGAGCCGGTTCAGCTAACAATGATCCAAACAGACACAGAGACATACACATTCACACCTAGGGGCAGTTTAGCATCTGCAATTGGCCCATCTGCATGTCGTTGGACTGCGGGAGGAAACCCATGCAGACACGTGGGAGAATGCAAACTCCACACAGATGGGACTCTGGTTGCCCGGCCGGGGAATCGAACCCAGGCCAGTATCAGAACAGAGGTTATTTAAACATTTAAGTCTTTAAGGGGCATTTTGGCTTAAAACTAGCCTTTAACATGTTATTTGTTATGTTATGTTATATATTGTTGCCCAACATTGCATCCCTCAGCCTCAGCACTATGGCGGAATGAGTGATTTTGGATCCTTTTCGCCATGTTTCACCAATTTTTCTCCTCAATTTGGTACTGTCCCCCGATTAGAGGTCTGCACAAGGAGGGTTCACCCATGGGTCCTGCATGAACTGCTAAATAATAAAAATCACTAATTTAATTTGTGGGCGGGATTCATTTTGAAGCACTGCAGGCATTGCGGGTAACCAGCCAACAGGTTGCAGGCTCATGCAAGTGGATATTAGGGCTGGCTGAGTGGGGCAGGCTTGGACAATTATTGGCTGCTTCTAGAAGCAAACAGGCAAGCAACAAATGAGCTGCAAGCATGCTGCAGAGAAAAAACACATGTTGCCTGATTCAAAGCACAAAAAACTTTTTGGCAGCATCCCAAACCACACACTTCTATACCTTAAATACCTCATATAATATAATAAATACACTTCTAATGGTGGCTCACTCTTTTTTACATACTATGTAGTGTGTAGTATGCGGTCTGGGACGCAGCCTTTTTCTCCTATCTTGCAGAAACGGGCTTCTATACTGAAAGCTTGTAAGTCAAACAGGGTTTTTTATTGCACTGGTCATACGCTAATTACAAAGTTACGCCTGGGTTCGTGGAAGGTCTTAATAAATCACCCTCGAAATCGGCCACCCCAACCACTGCGAGGTGTCAGTGGACTGTCAGTAAGTAGCACCTCTTTTAGTACATCTGCCCCAAGATGGTCACTTCTATAGTCAGTGGACGGTCACACTTTATTTGAGTGGTCCTTTTTAGAGGACAGAAACACTTGATGAAACAGACGCTCAGTAACATGTCAAAAACATGTGAAGGTTAGGATTAGGTTTTGAGTTGAGGTTAAGGTTAGGGTTAGGATTAGGGCCAGGGTGAGGGTTAGGATTTGGGTGAGGTTGGTAAGGTTAGATTTTGTGTAATGGAAGTAACATATTAACAATACATCTACTTAATGTAAGTAATGTATCAACAGAACATCTACAAGACATTCACTTCACTGTATTCAGATGTTTTACTGCTGCTACTTCACTGATATGCTGTTGATGTGTTACTGATAATCGGTTAAGAGTTTATTAAACATCCACAAAGTACCACTCCAAGTAAAGTGTTACCCAATGGACTATTTTTGGTGTATAGAACCACACACACATTATACGTGGACCATGATAATACAAGAGAAATGTATAACACAGGTTAAAAGTTACCCACCAAAAAGTACCCACAAAGATAAGTGGTAGAACAATGGAAAACAGCCAATGAGCAACGAGCCTCTAGCTCACCATTAGGAGAGTAAACACGCAGGTTAATTGGCACCGGAGAGATGCCTTTATTCTGCCCGGTGAGGCGATCCGTCTCTGCCTCGATCTCCTGTCGCACTTCATCGAAATCGGTGAACTTTTTCCCCTTACAGTGCAAAAACTCAGCATATTCTGCAGAGAGAAGAAAGAAAAAAGTAAGCACAGTGGCTAAGAATCACACACAGAGCTCATAACCTGTAGGTCGTGCCACAAGTTCTTCAGTATTACATACAACTGTATATAACAATAATGTAATATATTATCTATATAGGGCAGCACAGTGTTGCAGTGTGCAGCACTGTCGCCTCACAAAAAGAAGGGCCCGGGTTTTATTCCCTTCCGGGAGAGCAGGGTCCTTTCTGTGTGGAGTTTGCATGTTCTCCCAGTGTCTGCGTTGGTTCCATCCGGGTGCTCTGGTTTCCTCCCACAGTCCAAAGACATGCATTCAGGCTAACTGGACATGCTAAATTGCCCCCAGGTGTGAGTGTGTGAGTGAATGTATGTGCCTGTCTGTCTGCCCTGTGATGGACTGGCGACCTGTCCAGGGCGTTTTCTGCCTTCTGCCCACTGACTGCGGGGATAGGCTCCAGCTCATCCCACAACCCAGAAGGATAAGTGGTTTCAGAAAATGTGTGTGTGTGTGTATTATCTATATATATGAAATATGGGCCTATGCAAAATTTATGTACAATTTATGTCTTATTTTTTGTTAAACTCAGCAAATTGCCTAATTGTGCACTACAATGTGCAGAAAAATGCCATACTTAAATGAGGGTGTGTTTACTTATTTTCCCTTAGTAAATCAGCAAAACATGTAAATTGGGGGTGTTCACGCTTTAACATGTCAGTAAATACTACTTTATCCAAATTGAACTGAACTGAACTGAAGTACAATAAAAGGCACAGTCAATTTTAGCATTTGACTCTGTACACCTTCCTACACTAGGTGGCAGCAATGATAAGCACAGAGCCCTGAAAACCTGGTGAAAAGGGATACAGATACAGCCTGTGGGAATGAAGTTCTGTACTGTTTTGCAAGCGTCTTGGCATTTACCAACACAAACAAAATGCCTTACTGGAATAAGCTAGACTGCTCTATTTGCCCTTTCATACATTTATATCATCAATCATAGCCATATAGGCGAATACTGTATCTTTGAAACAGGGATACACGAGGATGTTGGAATTATGCCACTTGTGATCGGCTGCTTCCACAACACGTGATAATTATGTCAAAAGACACCACAGATGAGACGGATAAGCCATGAAATCCAAAGACAGCAAAAGTGGTGAGCCAGGCATGTTCTGGAGCACACGTGTCAGGCTCCAGTCCTTGCGGGCCAAAACACTGCAGACTTCAGCACACTGAGTCATTAAACACACCTGATTCAGCTCATCAGCTAATTAACAAGACCTTCGTGAACTGAATTCAGAGCATTAGATGAAGGTAAATGCTAACCTCCGAAGCGCTTTGGCACAAAAGGTCCCCAGTTTGACATGCCTGTTTCAACATGTTTGCCTGTTCTGTGCAAATAGGTTAAAAAAATCCCATCAACGGCAAGTATTTCATGTGCTTGGCCCAAAAAAATATCTCTTGCTGTAAGAGCTACAAAAAATGAACCTTCTCAACTCATTGAGACCACCGGTGGTTCCAAAACGCACTTCGTCATATTCTTCATAACTTTCATATTTCATAAGTTACATTCAAAAGGTGGGTGTGGTAAGAGAGCTGTAACTGTCTTCTTTCCAGTCAAATAGATGGGTGATGTGATTTTAAACCCTTATAATAAAAGAAGCTGAACTCAGCAGTAAATTGTAAGCATATAGCAATATGTGTGATCATAAAACACATTTTCTGTTCATTTCACTTTTACAATAAATAAATGAATTACTTAAAAATTGACATTTATTTCATGTGGTTACTGAATAATTTGCCTTACGATTTGGTCATGTAAATTCAGATGGAAAAACCAAAACATACCCTGGTCAATAAGAGGTTAATTAATTAATTAATTTTTTTTTTAAAAAAGGACACAAAGTGATGCGAAGCACCAGCACAGGATTCGATGAATTAAAGATGATCTGGATGTACACAAACGTTACTAGACTGCCAGTAGATCCCCCTTGTGGACAATCTTGTCAAGCATGAGAGAACGAGTGAGTGAGTGAGTTACAAGTCAGGCCCGTGAGGTGCTTCATATCTATGGCTAGACTATGGCCAGTCGCTCCCGGAGGATCAGCTTCATCTTCACCAGCATCACAGGAGCCATCATGAAGCTTCACTGACTGACAGCTGGGCTCATCACCCAGAATGTGTTCGAGCCGTATAAAGGGTGCGGTCACTTCTTTGGTTCGCGTCCTCGGATTCTTTAAACTTTGCTTGACGCTGCAGCCTCGTTCCCTACGGCCGCATTCGGACATGTCTTTCGAAATCTCTTTGAACACAGAGCGGTTGTGATGAGTCTCTTCTAATTGTTAGTACAGAAACATCAGCCTAAATGTTTAGGAGTCTCAGCAGCATGAAAATATGATGAATGTTGAGTTGGATTGACGTAAAAGCTGCATGAATTCTGATCTGGCTGTTCAGACTGAGTTACAGTGCCGCAGATCGGATATGTATCGGATTGCAGTTCTACATATGAAAGCGTCTCAAATCAGAATTGAAAATGTCAGATTCAGTGTGTTTATCTGTTCACCCTGACACTCAGACTCACATCTGTGTCACATGTGAGGAAAAAGATCAGATTTGGGCCACTTTTACCTGCTGTGTAAACAAAGAACTTATATTACAATCTGCTATTTGTATGATTTTGTAGATGATGCATGCAGGTCTAGCAATTTTTTTTATTTTGTTTTTGTTTATTTTTAGGATCCCCATTAGCTGCTATGATGATTGCCGCTATTATTCCTGCGGTCCAGTAGACGTACCATACATTACAAGATGTATTAACAATCAAAGAAACAAGTCATACAAAACATGGGTAAAAATTAAAAGAAAAACAAAAAAAAGACAAATAAAAGTTATGAAAACGAAACAAAATACACGAAAAATGCAAAATGACATGGAAGGACAGTTTAAAACATAAAATGACAGCAGAAAGATGATTGAAAATGGAAAAATGACTGAAAAAAGACCATTTGATATACCTCACAAAGCCGACTCTATTCTGGTAAGTATCCTCATCCCTGCCCACCATGACACTCCACCCCAGGACTGTTCCAACTGTCAGGGACCGATCCACCTAACTGATCTTTAAATTTGTTAAATAGTGTCTTTTTATTAGTTACTTTACCCTCAATGTTAAGCATTAACCATCATTTAACATCATTTAACCATCATCCTGTTTTAAAATAGTATTAGAAATACTTTAAGCATTTGAAACATGTCCCTTTATACTTTTACTTTAGTGAAATGTAAACCACTTTACCAGAGTACTTTACTTTAGTACTTGAAGTACTTTAGTACTTGAGCCAGCTAAATGGTTCCACAGTCGTGTTGTGATTTTGTACTCTGTGGTGGTTATTAAAAATTAATACAGTCAAGCTGAAAAAGCTGAAATAAACTGGAGTAAAATAAAAGCAAAACTGCTGTGATTCAGTTCTACTACTGTCACACCTTTAACCCTTACTTTAAGGGCTAAAAGGGGAAATATAGTGAGGTGAGACACTCTCATAAGAGTAGTTGTAATTCCTCCTGTAGCCGTTACCATGGCAGCGAGCTCACCTGTGGGGCAGTTGATGAGCTGCAGGACCAGAGGGCGGCGGGTGACGATGCCAGAACCACGGGGGAGGAAGTCCCTGTGACACAGACCAGGAAGAGAGGTGAGAAAGAGAAAAAAAACCAACAGAAAACAGAAAAAAAGAGCTCACGTTTTACATCCTGGGGATCCCGTAACCTGGCCACGGTCAAACCAGTGCATTCAAGGTCATGCTACTGTAGCACCAGTGCGACTGCTGGCCTTTGATTCAGTAACTGCACAGTCAGAAAGCCACCTTCGTTTTGTTTGCTTGTTTTTCAACTGCATACCGGTTAGACAAGGTGAACATGAACCACTTTGCCTTGTCTTTGAGGCATCTTGTGGTTAAGCGGCAGTGTTGCTCCTTGGCAAAGTCGGTTTTTTCCAAAATTCCCAGCTGGGATTAAACCAGCATCCCTCCAGACTTGGAAAAAAGTATGTCATTGCTACGAATGGGAATTTCAAGGCCCTTCATGAATCTGTTCCATCTCTATTCAGGCTCGCCACATATTACAGGCTATGATGTTTCAGCTTACACACAGCTTGCCACATCCATAGGCCTGCGTCTTTATGTTCGCCATCTAATAACTTCAAACTTAAGAAATTCATAAAAAAAATATGGGTAACGCTTTACTGTAGGGTGCTGTTCATAAGGCTACATGACACCTACATAAGGTTGCCATTACAACAGACATAACCCTACATAACTGTTTAAAAATGCTTATTACAACAGGCGTCATCTGTCATAGAGACTACTTTAGCTGGCTTTGATCAAAATTGGCAAATGTAACCTTTATAGCGAGTGACGCTTACTGGAACAAGCATTTATAAACAGTTATGTAGGCTCATGTCAGTTGTCATGACAAGCTTATGTAGGTGTCATGTTGCCTTATGAATAGCACCCTACAGTAGAGTGTTACCAGAATAAGCTTTATTTGACATGACATGAGCACTGTCGCATCACAGCAAGAAGGGCCTGGGTTCGATTCCCCAGCCGGGCAACCAGGGTTCTTTTCCTCCCACAGTCCACAGACTTGCAGCCAGTCTAACTGGAGGTACTAAATTGGCCCTAGGTGTAAGTGTGTAAGTAAATGTATACATCTGTTTATCTGTCCTGTGATGGACTGGCGACCTGTCCAGAGCCTTTCCTGCCTTCCGCCCAATGAGCACTGGAATAGGCTTCAGCACCCCCCAAGACCCAGGAGGATAAGTGGCTTATACATTTGTATGTGTGTGTAAGATAGCCATTATTTTTTCCCATAATTTAAAAAATGGCAATTGCCATTTTCACTGCGGGAGCGTTTCATGATAAACAGACCAATAGAAATGGTCCAAAATGCCTTTTTTTAATGTATGCTTTTACTGGACAATTAACAATTAACATTATAATATGCACATCAGCACTTATATTATATACATCCTGACCCAACCCTTTTAATATAAGCAGCAAAATTAGCCACAACAGCAAAAAACACCAACCAATGGTGGACAATGAGCTGCTTTAATGACATTTTAGAATAAAAAAAGAACTATTTTAATAATACTTTAACCGTATTCAATTATTATCTATTTAAAAAGTAAACAGCTCCACAGTCCCTGAAAGAAACACCAGAACAAGACATGCTTACATCATTCAGCTCACGTTCACATTTACAGTTGTATGCAAAAGTTTGCGCGCCCCTTGTCAAACGATGTTTTGCTGAGCTGGAAATGAGCACACATTCTCTACAGAGAACACACTTTTGCACATTTTAACACACAATTGCTATTATTATTTGCTGAATTTAACATATTGGAAATAAGTAATCAAATAAAAAGTGGCATGTGCAAAAGTTATGGCACATTTTATATTTATGTCCAATGTTTAATTCAGCAAATAAATAGAAACTGTGCACTAAAATTTGCTGGAAAAAAAGCCAAATTTAAGTCTGATCCCTGAAGAGAATGTGTTCATTTATTTTTACACAGAAAATCAAGCAAACGTAATTTGAACAGGCGTCTATAAACTTTTGCACATGGTTGTATTTTGAATGTAGTTGATTTTTTGGTGTTAACAATAAAAAAGCATATCAATATAAAACCTGTGCAGCGATGATTTAATGTGTATTAGGGTTTTTTAATGTTTTCAGTATATTTTAATACTGAAAACAATGGCAACTATGGTAATTGATATCCTGGCTGGAAATTTTCCTACAGTTCCAGCTCTATTTTACATCTAAGCTCTGCCTGGCAGGGTCTGCAGCTCGCCTCACTCTGACCAAAGTAAATGAAAGGGAAGGTGAAAAGACAGCGCTGCTGCAGTTTTGGTCTTCCTCCAGCAGTTCAAGCTGTGTGCGGTGATTCAGTGTTTTACACACGAGTACACTCATTCAGCGTGTGGTTATTCATGCAGCTCGGGACGTGTTCGAAATGTGTAAACACAATGTCATTTCAATATTGGCAGTGTAATATTGTTCAGTGCTGTTTGCAAATAAGCGGTCTGCGCTGAGAAGAAGGAAAACGGTCTTTTAAATTGTCAGTTTGAGCAGTTCTAACTGATCTGACTGAGTTCTTGCAGTGTTGCCCAAAATAAACTGTCTATGAAAGGCCAAACTGCTGTAGTGGAGAATCAGACATAACTAAAACATCACTAATTTGGTTTCTATAGATTTAATAGTAACATCTACACCGATCAGGCATAACATTATGACCATGATGACGATGTTCTTCAGTGGTCAGGACCCCATGAACCCCCACAGAGCAGGTACTATTTGGGTGGTGGATCATTCTCAGCACTGCAGTAACACTGATGTGGTGGTGGTGTGTTAGTGTGTGTTGCGTTGGTCTGAGTGGATCAGACACAGCAGTGCTGCTGGAGTTTTTAAACACTGTGTCCATTCACTGTCCACTCTATTAGACACTCCTACCTTGTCGGTCCACCTTGTAGATGTAAAGTCAGAGACGATAGCTCATCTGCTGCTGCACAGTTTGTGTTGGTCATCCTCTAGTCCTTCATCAGTGGTCACAGGACGCTGCCCACAGGACGCTGTTGGCTGGATATTTTTGGATGGTGGACAATTCTCAGTCCAGCAGTGACACTGAGGGGTTTAAAAACTCCAGCAGCACTGCTGTGTCTGATCCACTCAGACCAGCGCAACACACACTAACACACCACCACCACATCAGTGTTACTGCAGTGCTGAGAATGACCCACCACCAACATACTGCAGTCATTTCGTACACTTTTAAACTTGTCATTTGGTAATGAACTCATCATAACGCCGCAGTGTTTATATATAAGTACCTGTTGCTCATCAAATTACCACCGCAACAATTATTAGCGTTTCCATTAGCGCCTCTATGCAATTTCCAGTCTTATTTAGCACCAAGCTAACATGCAATATGTCCCTCTTTCCATACTGGGGCTGAATCTCAAATGGCACCCTGCTCCCTACATAGTACACTAGGTAAGAATTGAAATACTGGCTTCTGCACCCAAACAAATAGTCATTTGGGATTTCGCCACATTCATACTGGACAGTAGGTACTTTATTTCAAGGCTGTGATGTCAGTGGAGCAGTTGTTTAGCCTGCTAGCTATGCTTTAGCCTGTTAGCTAGCTGATCAGCCTAGTTTTAGTCAAGAAAATAAGCCGTCAGCCTCTCAGTTTAAACAAAACCATCAATACACTCAGTGGTCCATTCGAGCAGCATTACAGTCAAAGACTACTGCATTAACAGCACAAAGATTGTTCATGATTTGGCGCAGTAATACAGAATTCAGCTGTAGTGTGGAGGTCATAGGTGTGCCTACAGCGGCTTCAAATCCAGCTCAGCCAATCAGATTTTGGGACCGAAACAATCTGTCTTATAATGACCAGCTTATAATTCAACCAGTGTCCGCCAGTGGACAACATAACTATTACAGAAAATGTCTTTTATAGTTAATTTACATTTAAAATAATCATCATGCTTGTTGTTTCTTCACTCTGCAAATACTGTAGTGATGCTCTTGTGTCGCTGTTCAGTTTAGGTTGCAAACCATAAACATCCAATGGAAAATGATCCAATCAGGATTGGTTAGGACTTCAGGAGCTGAACTAAAGGCCTGATGCGTCAGATGAGCCACCTGCATAGTTAGGAAGTGACAGAGAACCAATCACATTGGGGCACTTGCATAACTTAGCCTTAGGAAAGAGGTGTTTTGACTAGCTCTAATCATGGTTTGCCACTGACTGAACATCAAAACCAGAGCCACGGTTCGGTAATGTGTCATTCACCCTATACGATGGCCAGTGCTTCGTGACTGGCCTTTTGAAATACAATTAGTAACAGTGATTCATACAACAAAATCTAATATAAAGCAGCTAATATGAGCTAATTAGCTAAATTCTGCGGTGCTGCGGACCTCCAAGAGCTGAATTTCACCCTCTTGCTTTACACTGCGGTCCAAATACAACCTCCTGAAGGTTAGGCAAGTGGACAGTAGTCCAAAACCAGCACAAAAGAGAAAGTCTTACACAGAGAAGCTGACATAATTCCCAAGCCCTTGTAGGCATGATCATGCGCAACGTAGCCTGCTCACAGAGTTATGACCTCAGCAAAAGCATGAAATGTAAAAGGAGCTATCACACAAATGGCTGGCTGGCCGTTTACCCGTCCTTCAGCTAAATTAAAAGCATCTTACCCACATAAAGCCTCTGCGTGGGAGGACAGTAATGAGGATAATGAGTGACAATTTGAAAGGGAAATTGCTGCCCACCATTTTCTTGACAATGCTAAAAGGCTTGAGGGTTTGAGATTGAAGTTGTGTATGTGAAACAGACGGCTAGTGTTCGTTTTACACATACATAGGCAGAAAAAAATGTCATTACACAAATATACATTAACAACCATTGGTTAAGCCTTCAGGAGCAGAACTTAAGGCCTTACACAATAGATTAAAGATCAACATACACCGATCAGGCATAACATGATGACCACCTCCTTGTTTCTACGCTCACTGTCCATTTTATCAGCTCCACTTACTATATAGGTGCACTTTGTAGTTCTACAGTTACAGACTGTAGTCCATCTGTTTCTCT